ATAAAGTAATTATCCACATCCTTTTAGTTTATTTATTTGGGGATGACCATATGATAGCTATTGGCCTAAAGGAAGAATGCCTTCGTAGAGAATTTATAAATTGGCCCTTTTTTATGTTACAAATTAAAAAAATCATGAAAACACACAGGTAGCCAGTTAATGCATTGTATTCAAAACCATTCGAACTATCACCATTTCAGGTTTTATTCACTTGGCCACTGGTGGGCACATTATTGGTATGAAGCTTAATAGCATGTTACTTGTTTCCTACTGTATGGGTACTGGTACTTCCTTGCTACATTTTTTATTACTAAAATGGGAGATTGATTATATCATGCATTTGTTTCAAAACTTTGGTTTTGCATTACTAGTTTTAATTAATAAGTATTTCATATAAAATATAACACATGCAAAGAAACTAGAAACATTTAGTTAACTCTGCCAAATTACGTAAATGGTTTTATATATATATAAATAAGATGGAAAAGTATTAATTCATAATAGTTACTCTCTACCATTTATAGCAAAATTCTGACTTGACGAGAACACAATGCTTGCCTATGTTATCTCTATCAGAGATTGTTACACATTCTCTAAATAACGATCTACTTTTTCATATTCTTCAATACCAGTTTAGTAAAATAAAACAAAATATTAAGTAGAAGATACACAATAAAGGAACTCGCACAACAAAATTTCAAGATATGCTGAATATCATAAAACTGAAATTAAATACAAAGTTTGAGATATGGACGTCCAATATATGGAATGATCTAAAATCCGGACTTCAAAGCCACCAACAATACTTTTCTTAGGATTTTTTTTTTTTTTTTTTGTATGCTTTAAGCATGCACATTTGATTTTTCTCTCATAATAAAACATGCGGAGAGTCCCAATTCTTAATTTCACTCTAGCAATAAATAAAATACCTTGTTATTGAAGAAACAATCATTTTAGCATAATTTGTATAATCAATAATTTGACCTCATAACTGCATATCTGCTTGGCATACATCTTAAGCCGAAACATTCTACATTGAAACATCATTGATTTACTTTCATAGCCGCATGTTTGTTAGCACATGACAACTTGAGCAATGACTTATGCAGCGATGCCTAAACAATTTTTTTTTTTATATTAGTAATTGAATAACAAAGAGTATGGTAACTGTTTAGGTTAATATTATGCTTGACGATGATTGCAGATGCAAGTTAAATACACTAAGAAATGCTGACAAGGATAAATGCAATGAAAATTTTTCCCCATACGCTTAGAGATTTTGTTAATGATATTCAGAGGCCAAAAGATTACATTTAGTGCTATTTGAATTAAGAATAACTGATTTTTATCACATAAAGACCCTACCGGCGGCGAGCTTGTAGCCCCACCGCAGCGGATATTAAACTAATTTTTGGAATTTAAAAGCCTGGCAACAACTTAAGGGATGACAAAATTTTTAGAATTTAGGAAAAGCATCGAGACCCAAAATTTTGAGGTGGCAAAAATTTAGAACTTAGGAATGTGCTTGCTAGCAGAATTTAGGAAGGCGGTAAGATATCTAGAGGCGGCCATCAATAAGCTGTATATGTGGGAATTTATTTATTCAGGACTAGATGAAAGTATAATAAATAATCAAAATAATACAATTCAGGCTTAATTGTTTCAGTACGTGATAGAAGCAAGACAAAATTTTGCAAAACAACTTGTTTTTCGTCGCCAATCTCATGACAGCTGATACTGAGCTACTTGCAGATGATTTTATTGAACTCACTAATAGCGAAAAGTTATCTCAACAAATTTACAATGCTGATGAAACTGGTCTTTAGTGGCTGTATGTAGTGAGAAATACCTTGGCAACCTCTAGAGAAAAAGCTTCATCTGGTGTCAAAAATTCCAACGCAAGACTAACAATTTTAGCATGCACAAATGCTGCAGGAACACACAAGTGTAAGCTTTACGCAATCGGAAAAAATACACAACATCGATCATTTAAAGGAGTAAAGATTTTCCTTGTTATATGTATATTGTACAAATAAAAGAGAGTGGATGGCACAAGCATTAATGAATCATTGGTTTGAAAATCATTTCATAACCAAGGCTCGGCAACATTTGCATTTGGTTGACCTAATGACGCAAAAGTTATTCTAATTGTACACAGCTGTACTGATCAAACTTCACTTCAAGTTTTTAGTGAAAGATAACATATCCATATCAATCTTTCCTCCAAATTGTTCGTCCATTATTTAGCCTATAAATATCAGAATACTGCACAAGCTGAAATGCAAATATAATGTAGCATTTTTAAAGTCCATGTTAAATTTCTTAAATAATAGCAAGACTATTCAAGAATTTTTGAAATATTTTGGCATAAAATCTGCTGTGCGGAACATCATAAAATCGTGGGAGGATATGTCTCCAGATACTTTAAAAAATGCTTGCCATAATTTATGGCCAGCTACCATATTTCCCGGTGAGGCTGATGAAGATAACTGCGAATTTGAAGGTTTTCGGATATCGAAAATCAAAGGTGAAATTTTCCAATTAATGGATTTTATAAAGAAATGTGGAGAAACGGTAATAAATAAATATTATATATCAGAAGCTTTTCATTGCGATGACTATACCCAATCATCAAATAATTAACGGACAGCGAAATCTATAGTATGGTCCTAGATCCAGAAAATACCGATGGTGAAGAAAGTGACACATAGGTTATTTAAAATGAAAAAATTTCGATTGGCAAGTTAGTTGAAACTCTCGACTCAGCAATTACAGGGCTTGAACAATGGAACTTTGTAACTGAACAAGAAATTAGTCTACTTACAGAATTAAATAGAAGGTACTAGCATAAAAACGAAGCAATTTAAACAACTTACATTAAAAGAAATGTTTAATTAAGTAAACAAATAAATATCAAGCTTTTTTTTTTAAACATTGATATCCTTTAGATCATAAATGCTTCATTATTTCATAAATCATAATTTCATATTTTTAATTTTATAACTTCTACATGCCATCTCGGTAGATTTAAAATGATGATCTAATGTCAAGAAAACTCCCGAATCCGGAATCGCCAAAGTCCCGATGAGTCCAGATCTTGGACTTCGTATTGTAGTAATATTCTTAAAAGCGCATGATTTTAATATTTTGTTTTATGCCGATGAAAATCTGGATGTTCATTTAATGGTATTACAAAATATTCAATAATCGCTCAAGTTGGTTATGGAACACTTACAAATAAATATTGATAATCTGATAACTGGTTTTTGTTCCACGATTTGCAAATATATACAGTCAAAAGTCGTTAATTCGGACACCCATAATAAGGACCTCAAAGCTACAAACTTTCTGCGCATACGTCGCGTTGACGTAAGACCTTTACGGCTGCGAATATGCGTGTGCGCATGCCAAAAATACGTTTATGCATGTGTGTTTAATGTATAACGGACGGTATAAACTAAGCTAAAATTATTTAATTCAGTTAATGTTGCAGATTGCGTTGTTCCTTATCTTCGAATTGGATCCGGCTTGTTATTTTTTGCAGACTGTTAGAGCAATTTTATAAAAGTAAGCTTGAACTTTCGATTATGTCAAATAGAATTTCTGATATATATTTACGAATATGTAAAGGATCTACAAAGCGAAAGTATGTTTCAAAGTCCATTAAACAAAAAGTGGAATTGCTGCAGAAAATGGACAAAGGCATATCCTTTTTTTATCTAACCATTCCGAAATCTGTTTATCAATTTCACGCTGCTCTGCGGCGAGGGGCAATTTCACGCCGCGGCGCGCAATGAATTGGAAGTTGATATGTCAGCACTATCCTTATCTTCAGGGCAGATGTTTTTATTTTATTCGGTTTATAATTCCTTACTAAATGCAGTATTTCATCTCGATGTACTCCATCTTTGATATGATTTAAATCAAATTCCTCGTCATTATAATTCGCTTCCAATAGCGAAGAAAGTTAAGTAAACAAATAAATATTAAGCTTTTTTTTTTTTTTTTTGTAAATTTTGATACCCTTTAGATCATAATTGTTCTTTATTTCATAAATTATGGTTTCATATTTTTGATTTTATAATTTCGACATGCCATCTTACCAGATTTAAACTGATGATCTGTAATCCGGAAAAATCGATAATCCGGAATCGCTGAAGTCCCGATGGGTCCGGATTAATGACTTTTGACTGTACCTGCATTTAAAACAAAGTACACCTTGTCCACTGATGAGCTTCTATTCAAATCATATAAACCTGAAGGGAAATCACAGTTAATAACCAACAGCAAAATGGTGTGAGGAAATTTATTCTTCGTAGAGAATTTGATTACCGAACTAAGATATATACAGGAAGCTACAGACGAAATATACAGGACGCTAACTTTGATATTGTTCACACTTTAACATAAGGTATTTTTAAACAATATAAGACAAGTTTCAATCTGAGAATTCTTGAAATAATGCAACTTAAAGTCAAATGATCAATGGCTGCCTAGGACCCAGCGGTGGAATTTTCTTGACAAAATGAAAATATGGTCTTTAATATTTTCTTAGGACAAGCTCATTTTGTCCATATTAAAAGTCAAGCCTAAAAATAAGTTTCTTTCGTGACAAGAAGATTATCAATCCTCAGAAACTGGATACCAGTGCTTCAATTAGCATTTGTAATATTAGCATGTTAAACTCGTAAATTTTAGCTTTCTCTATTTACAAAATACTTTCATGAGTGACTTACAATGCTTTTGTGGAAATTATTTTGATTAATTGATAGATGGCGCTAGCGTTGCATGTTAACGCGACACGACGTGCCTTCTGAATTTTCATAGACTCTCCACCGGCAGCTCGATAGATGAATCTTCTAGATGCTTCGCACACTATTTGATTAGGAACACTTGGGTTCTAAAGTTCGAAGACTTATTTAGTAAAGTATGCACACACTTATTTGAAGATTTCGATTATGAAAGCATATAGATTTATTTGTCAACTGAACCACCGAATGTTTGATTAATGATCTGTAAATATTGTACATATTAAAAGTTAACATTTTAAAAGTGATTGATGTCGATTTATAGCAATCTTAGAATATTTTGAAACAGCTGGTGCATTAAAGGCCGTAAAGAATTTTGGATTTAGCACATTGCAAGTGTGCGAAGTCAGCAAAAAGGTAACGACTAAATTTTCTAATTTGTAGAGTAAACTATGGCGGAAGAGTCTGCTGGTAAATTAAAATCGAAAACGAAAAGTTATCAGGACCACCGTGTGCAAGATTTTTAAAAAAAGCGGATCGAAGTTGAATAAAGAAGAAATTGATACAAGTACATTAGAAGAAAAGTTTAGACCAATTAATCATGAAATCGAAAATGCTTTGAGTGAAGTTAGATGCTCAGATAGAGCGTGACTTGAAATCAGAGGGTGAGGAGTTTGAAACAGAAATTCTATCTTGTATCGAATATAAAAGAGAAAATTCAGTTATGGCAATTCAGAGCAAATAAAAATTGAAAGAATTGAATAAAGTAACAATTCGGATAATGAAAACTCTTTTAACGAAACTAATTCTAAATTGAAAGCGATAAATGTATGCGTCTGCCAAAATTAACCATCGCTAAATTCTATGAGATTACAACACCCAGTGGACAAGTTTTTGGAACTCTTTCAAGGTAGCAATCCATGATAATGAATCTTTAACAAAGATCGAAAAATTAATTATCTAAAATCGTACTTATGCGGCAACGCCGCAAACGTCGATAGAAGGTTTTTGCATTTCGGAACCAAACTATGATGAAGTTATCGAAATACTTAAAAATAGGATTTGGACAGGAAAGATATAATTATAAACTCACACATGCAAAAACTCCTGAATCTTATCCCAGTAACCAAATCCAGTGACACTTTAAAACTTCGTAAACTTTGTGACACTATAGAAACTCAAATACGCAAGCTTGAAATCATTAGAAGTCACACTGGATAAATAGTTATATGTTGATTCCAGCCATAATGAAAAGTCTGCCGTCTGATATAACCTTAGAATTCAATCGTAAAACGGATTCGTCATCCTTTTTTAATGTTGACGAATTATTGCAGTTTGTTCGTTTAGAATTGGAAAGTCGCGAGAGAAGCCATCTTTTGCTCTCCACTCATAAATCAGAAAGCACTTCCTGTGTTTATAAAGAGAAGGGTGGGAAGGGGAGTATCCTTCATTCCACTTACCAGCTCTTGGCACCCGTTAAAGAAAACAAAAATACTAACTGCTGTCTGTTTTATAATACATCCAAACATGTTACTGAAGACTGTGAATCACTGACAGTTGATGAGAAGAGAAATTTATTACGTAAACATTCTCGATGTTACCTTTGCCTGAAATCAAACCACCGCATAAAGCACTGTCGAAGCGATCTCGTCTGCTCCAAGTGCAAAGGTCGACATAACAGTTCAATATGCTTTCGCGCTGAGAAAGAAGTAAATGAAAAAGATAAAAGTATAGAAGATTCGCATGTTCTTTCAGCATTCTCACGCAGCAAAATTAAAACTATTTCACTTCAAACGTGTTGCGTAACACTTCGAACAACTACGTAGTCGGTTTTAATTAGAGCTCTACTGGATTCAGGTAGTATGTGTTCCTTCCTAAGAAAAGAAATCACGGATAAATTGAAGCTTCCTGTTATTCGAACAGAGACTCTTTTGATATTTACGTTTGGAAATAAAACACCCTTAGAAAAACATTTGACGTTGTTAAGATAAAATTACAGAACGAATTTGAAAATCGAAATTGAAGCTCTCGTGACTGAGCAAATTTCGAGTTCTAATTTACCACCTCCTAATCTGGATTGACACATTTTAGGCAAACAGTTAGATGGTTTACAACTCGCAGACTCTTGGGATAGCAAAGAAGAAATTACCCTTTTGATAGGAGCTGATCATTATTATGAGGTACTTAGTGACTGGGAAACGTAAGCGAATATAAACAAACATTTAGTAGCTGCTGAAAAACGTTATTTCGGTTGGTCTCTCTCTGCTAGGTTACCCTAAGGTACAACACACACGTCCACAGCCTTTAATATCGTAGTTGAGGAAGATATAATATCTGATCAGTAAAGAATTTTGGGAGCTTGAAAGTTTAGGTATAAAACCTGAAAATGAATCATCCGACCCATTAAACAACACCATAATGGAAAAATTCGAATCGGAAATTTTATACAAAAATTCCCGTTACAAGGTTAGGCTGCCATGGAAGTCTGATAGACAATATGAGTTACATGACAATAAAGTGATTGCGCTGAAAAGATTTGAGAAACTTGTAAAACGATTTCAGAATAACCCTGAACTCTTTTATTCGTACCAAACAGTTCTACAAGATTATTTACAACAAAACATCATTGAACCAGTTCCAGACACTGTTGATAGTGAATCTCAAATCACATTTTATTTGCCTCACAGAGAAATCATTCGTAGTGATTGAACTACTAGTAAACTACGTATCGTGTTCGACGCGTCTTCACATGGACCTGTTGAAATCTCGTTAAATGACTGCTTGCATATTGGTCCAAATTTGTATCCTGACATTCTTGAACTTCTGTTGGCCTTCAGGCTTCATCCTGTAGCATTTACAAGGGATATAAAGCAGGCTTTTCTTCATATAGAAGTAGATGAGAAAGACAGAGATGTAACGCGTTTTCTGTTTACTAAAAACCCATTCGATAATCTACAAAATTTTATAACTTATCAGTTCACATGTGTGTTATTTGGCGTAAATAGCAGTCCATTTTTACTGGCTGCAACCATTAAACACCATTTGAAACAATATGAGAAAACCTACCCTGCCACTTGCGAATTCCTAAATGATCACATTTATGTAGATGACATCATTGGAGGACACCAAAACGTTGAACTTGCTTTCAATACCAGTTTAGAATGCATTAACATTTTTAGAGATGCTAGTATGATTCTACATAAATTGCTTATCAATTCTCAAGAACTGTACGAATTATGGATTAAATAAGGTACTGAATCCAAGGATCTAGTCATCTCGGAAGCTAGAGATCCTCCATTGAAAGTGTTAGGAGTCTCTTGGAACAACCAAAGTGACATAATTTACTTTGATGTCAAAAATTTGATAACATTTTCTATTCAAAACAAGTTAATACTAAACGTTTTGTCCTACAAGGCAATAGGAAGAATATTTGATCCTGTAGGTCTAATAGTATCACCGTTTGTACTTAGAGTCAAAATCATATTGCAGCAAATTTGGACACTTGCTTTAGATTGGGATGATGAACTACCAGAAAATTTATGTTCTGTATGGAAAACATGGTGCAAAGAAGTTTCCAATTTGTACGAAATCGGTATTCCACGATATATATTTTTCTGCAATCGGTAATAGTGATGAGGAAAGGATTGGACTGCAGTTTTTCTGACGCTAGCAAAAAGGCATATGGTTACAGTAGCGTATCTACGTATAATTTCTAGCAATGAACAAATATATATGTTTTTGTTGCTTCAAAGACTAGAGTAGCGCTTTCCCTTAAAACCGCTCACCTTACCTAGGTTGGAACTAATGGGAGCTCTATTGTCAGCCAAATTAGGCACTAGCATCAATAAAGTTTTGAAGTTACAACCTTCTTGTTTTTTCTGGACTGATTCGAAAATCACACTTTTCTGGATAAAAGACTGTGCAAAGAAATTTAAGTTTTCGTTAAAAATCGTATTCAGGAAATACAAAATTTGACACCCTCAGAAAATTGGCATTATTGCCCCGGTAAATGTAATCCCGCTGATTTGGCTTCAAGAGGAGCTAAACTTCCAGATTTGAAAAACAATCCTATCTGGTTTCAAGGACCAGAATGGCTTAGAATATCGTCTGAGTTGTGGCCTCGACAGAATGAAGAGAAACCTGTCACTGAAGAAGAATTAGAATACCGCAAAAATATTAATGATATTTATGAATTTGTATGCACGGCAGTTGAAGAAAGGCTTATAGACATTTCAAAATATAGTAATTTAAGAAAATTGTTGAGAATAACTGGTTGGATGAAACAATTCATTGGTAAAATTAGGAAAACAAATCATTTGACAGGTCCATTAACGACTGAAGAAATAGTAGATGCCGAAAATTATTGGATTTGATCTGAACAAGAAGGTTTTTATCCCAAAGAAATCGAGTCTCTGAAGAGAGCGAATAAAGTCGAAAAGAAATCCTCTTTATATCTTTTTAACCCATTTTTAGACCAGAACGGGATACTGAGAGCAGGTGGAAGATTAGAACATTCTAGTTTGTCACATGATGAAAAACATCCGGCGATTCTTTCAATAGACTCCTGGCTACGAATTTGATAGTAGAAAATGCACATGTTAAAATGATGCATGGAGGAGTAGCAACGACCTTAGCTGAAATTAGCAGTCGTTTTTGGATTCCCAAAAGGGACGTCACAGTTTATCAAGGAAATAATAAACAAGTGTCTTATTTGTAAAAGATATTCATTGAAATCTGCTGACCAGACCACTTCTCAACTTCCAGAAGATAGAATCAATGAGACACCACCCCATTTCTACGTGTCTGGCCATCGATTTTGCTGGACTGATTTACGTAAAAAACATCGAAGGAAGTCAAAAAGCCTATGTAACATTATTTACATGCGCTATCACTAGAGCCATAACATCTGGAACTTGTACCAAATCTCTCTACATGGATTCTTTCTTGATGGCATTCAAAAGATTCACAATCTAGGAGAGGCAATTTGTCGAGTAATTTATTCGGACAACGCAAAAACTTTTAAAAAGGGAAAAAAAGGAACTCGAACATTTTCTCTAAACTATTGTCGAAATGAGAAATTCCAAGATTTTCTGTCAAATGAAAGAATCGAGTTGGAAAATTATAATAGAATGAGGGGCTTGGTGGGGAAGGCTTCTACGAGAGATTAGTAAAATCAGTGAAAGAGTGCTTAAAGAAAATTCTCGGTAAAGCTTTACTAACGTTTGAAGAATTGTCAACAGTTTTAGCACAAGTGGAAGCTGTTTTGAATTCTCGTCCTTTGACATATGTATACAATGAGCACAAGGAACCGTTGCCACTGAAGCCAGTCAATTTTTCTGATTTTTTTGGAAACAAAGATTCTACATTACCTATCAACTTTAATTCCATTGATAAAGATGGCTCTACCAAGTCCTCTCTGACTAAAAGAAAGATTTATTGGTTAGGCAATTGTGGACTAAATGGAAAAAAACAATATTTGATGGATCTTCGGAACAGCTCATCACCTTTAAAAATGATCCTAAAAATTGATGAAGATCTTGTTTTAATTGAAGGCAACAATAAGTGCAAACTTTTGTGGAATTGTGGCAGAGGTGATAAACGTTTTTTCGTGGTCGTGACAACAAAGTTTCGTTCTTGTGTAAACTAAAAACTGCTGATGGAACAATAATAAAACGACCAGTTCAATTATTATATCCTTTAGAACTTTAAAAAAATTTTTTTTATTGTTTAATAATATGAATAAGATTGAATATGTTTTATATGCAATTGTTTATTTTGATAATTTAGTTTCATATGATTAGATTAAGAATCGTTTAGATTTACTGAAGTAGTGTCAAATTATATCTGATGATAACATATGTTCTGATGATTTTTAGAATTTAGTATAATGATTATAAGTTTGAATATATTTTCTATTCATTTAATATACTTATAAATTGTTTTATAATTATATGTTAAAATACTTATTGGTATAAATTTGATTGTTGTTAGATTAATGTGAACTCTTGACAGAGTTCAGGTGGGGAGTGTGTGGAAATTATTTTGATTAATTGATAGATGGTGCTAGCGTTGCGTGTTAACGTGACGCGACGTGCCTTCTGAATTTTCATAGACTCTCCACCGGCAGCTCGATAGATGGATGTCTGATGGTTCGCACACTATTTGATTAGGAACACTTCGGTTCCTATTTGATTTCGATTTTCGATTATGAAAGCATATAGATTTATTTGTCAACTGAACCACCATGTTTGATCTATGAACTGTATATATTGTACATATTAAAAGTTACATTTTAAAAGTGACTGATGTCAATTTATAGATCTTAGAATATTTTGAAACAGCTTTATACACTCCCCCTTACACAGACATAATTAATTACATATTTCAGGACATGACTGCTGATATATGAAAATATTAACCTTTTAACTGTCATGCCCGAGCTGGTGTTCGAAAATGTCATGCCCGAGTATTACTCGGGGTATTTTTTTTTTTGAGTGCATCGTATTGTTATACACGAATATATATTGGGAGACGTTTATTTCGGCTTCATCTCTTTGTCTAACCCGACTGTATCTCCGGGGAAAGTTAATGTGCGCTCAAGTTCAATAGATGACAGCACTTTACTGAAGATTTCAAAGGTTAGAGGTTATAAGTTGCTTTGGTTTCAAAGTGCATGGGATCTTTTTGTTGTAAAATAGCGTCTTCTTTCTTTGAAACGTTATATAGATGATTTAGATTCTTCAACCCGAAGATGAAGGATGTGTATTTGATGAGCAGTATTTCATGATACTTCCATGGTCAGCCTCAAAAATAAAAAAATGGAGATATACTCAAGCCGAAGATTGTTTCTAATTACAGTCTAACTATGGGTGGTGTAGATCGCTGTGATTAGGAAATATCATTTCATCCAACAATCTGAAAACGTCAGAAAAAATATTATAAAAAGATATTTTTACATTTACTAGACAAGGTACTCTGGAACTCATATTTGCTCTATAAAAATGTAGTTGGAAAACGTATTACATTTTTAGAATTTCAAATCCAAGTTGAAAAAGAGCTTTTACATAAATATGATGATGCAGCTTCTGGACAAAAGAATGTTGGCAGACTACCTACAATAGATAACCCTGCCCGTCTTACTGAACGACATTTTATATCTCATATTCCTCTTACTCCTGCGAAACGTGAGCTTAGACAGTGCAAAGTGTGTTGTTCGAAAAAGGATAAAAATGGGGAAAAGATAAGGAAGGGAATCACGATTCTGGTGTAGTGATTGTGGATTTGGTTTGTGCTTGGAAAAGTGTTTCCAGTTGTACCCACACGACTGAATTACTGAACTAGGTAATCACTTTTATTTGTTTCACTTATTTATTTATTTTTTATCCCCCCTCCCCCCATTTTTAGAAAATAAGTGCTCCACTAGAAGCGAACTTTACAACTGCCATGTTGAGTGGCAGCCGCCTCAAGCAAATACGCAATGGCTACAAAACTTTAAAAAGTTTACCCATGTACTTCAAAATATCAATTTTTAACTACTTAAGAATGTTTTATTTTGTACTAAACATTTGATTTTTGCAATAAAAAATTTGACAATTTGTGTACCCAAATCATCAAAATAACTTGACAGTTAAAGGGTTAATAGATAACATAAATGCAAATGAATTAGAAACAAATATCTGCACACTGGCTTCTAGACAAGGAAAGGGTACTTGTAAAAGGGGCTGAAACAGATGGAAGTATTACACAAAACTGATCAGACATTTTAGCATACTCTTGACAAGCAACGAAGTTGTACACAAATTATTTGCATCTGGAAAGAACTGAGGCAATCATGATTTATTGTGACCCCACTGCATCATTTATGCAGGGAAAAATTCAAACAGAAGTAAAAAAAAAAAAAAAAAAAGCACAGCTACACTTATAATTCTTTTAGCAACAAAATAACACAATAAATTAAAATTACAATACGGGAGAATAGAGACTTACTTCAGGTTCTGGAGATAAAAATGGTTTGATATCAATATCAGTATTTAAAGCTTTTAGATCATGATCCCCAAATCCTCTTGTCACACCAATTGTAGCAAGCACTCGACTCTGAAATTAAAAAATAACCTTACTGTTTCATTCTGAAAATCCCCAATCTACTTACGAGAATTTTAAAAATGAAACATATTGGGGGGGGGGAAGCCCTTTAAAAGAAAAACCAATGATAGTGAACACACACAGCTATTTCAAAAAACATTTTAAAATGAAGTAGAACACTCACCCTTTTACCTTCACCATATATAAGTGGAAACTTGAGATCATCCATAGATATACATTTATACGACCTTAAATAAAATAACCTTATAAATTTCACATTACATGCTTAAATATAAATATCAATTTAGAGTCACATTTAAGGCTAAATTTCAAAAATATAAAATACTTTTGATAATGATTTTTTATGATGCTAATTTATATAATAAACATTTATTTTTCATAAAATTTAAAAATTTTAAGCTCTTTTTGATAAAAACATACAAAAAAAAATTCGTCACTATTTTCTCCTTAACTATGTAATACGCAAGTGTACATAGGGGAAACAAAAAAGAATGTATACACAAATGTACATAGAGGGAAAAGAAAAAAAAAAAAAAAAAAATTCTAGGAGGTTTTGAGCTGTGAGATGACATTATTTCAAAAGGACTCCAATCTGAATTAAATCAGCTTTATAATGTCTGACCCAGGTTATTGAACAATTTATAATATGAATCTTATATGAATTCTAATAATATTTAGATATTTTAAATTTTATGCTCTGATTAATATATATTTTTTAAAAATTTTCTTACACTTTTGTACTGAGAAAACTGTCAGTAGCTTTTATTTATAAAAATATTTTTAAATATGGAGGAAACAAAATTAATAATTAATGTAATACATATTGTTGTGTGGATAAAATTTATAACGTATCATATACTGAAGTAAAGCAAAATTAAACACAAATTTAACTGATCAACATTCGTAAAATCTTCATAAATAGTTCTCCAAATGTCTACAGTAGATTAAGAATTAAGACAATTGACATCAAGTAAAATTTAATCAGAAAAATTATGCTGAAAATCAGTAGGGATAATTTAAAGCATAATTATGCATAATTTAAAGTCCACTAGTTCAATAAAACATTTTCCTTAATAAAGGCTAAAAATTAAAAACCTGATAATTAAGTGATTTTTCAAAAAACCAGCAGACGTGAAGAAAAACTGCAAGGTCTCCTGGTAAAACTAGGAAAAGTGGCAGCTATGAATATGTATTAAATGTAGCTAATATTTTACTCATATAACTTCAATCAAATAAACAATTTACACTAAAATTTTTCACTAAGGGCTTAATAAGGCATTAAATGCAGCTTATTTTGTAAAAATATATATTACACTGTTACGATTATGAAACAAATTTATTAGAAAAACTTTAAAATATATATACCATCCACTCATGTATGCATCTCTGTAAAGAATTTTTTCTCCTAAATCTTTTCTAGCAGGACGTCTAGCAAATTCTAAGTGCGTAAATTCACCACCTAAAAGTTCTGGACGCAACTGGCCCTAAGTTAATGAGGTAAATTAAGAATATCATTAAGATTATAAAAACAAATATTTTGAACAACTTAAAATTTTTTGTAGTTGCGTACATTTAAATTAAAAATTCCTTTACAAATAACACACTCTAGTGAAAAACTACTGACCACTGATCTAGATTCTGTAAATAAATATTCATTTAAAAATAAATAATATCAGTATAGCTGTTTTCAGTATTGCTGAAAATAGAACACATTAGCTTTCTGGCCAGCTGGTCATCTTTACAAAAACAATTTCGAGTTCATCCAAAAGAAATCCAACTTTAGATAGCATGTGTTAAGCAATAAAACTAGATCAAGTTATTTAATTCAGATTCCAAAAGTAAATGAATATTTATATAGGAATTTGTGACTATATGAATATATAAAATTCGAAAATGCATTAAAACCTCTCAAACTGCAAAAATTACAGCTGTAGCAATAAGAAATATCCAAACATAATCTTCACAGCAAACATTCTTTTACCAATATTAATAAATACTAATGCATTTCATTCAATATTTTATGACAAATTTTTAAGTAATTTAAAATTTGACCATAAAAGGTTAAGGGAAACACTTTTTGCAGCAGATATTACTGGTGTTAAATATTTCAGAAAAATTTAGAAACCTACTAAACACACTCAAAACCTATTTAGCTTTATTCAGCGAAATTTTCACAGCCCATCACAAGATTTAACAGAAAATTTGATAAAAGCACACAAAAATTAAAGAGTGCTATAAAAGCATAGAAGTATATATGGATAAACTTATAAATGGGTGAAGAAAAAGTATTTACTATAGCACATAAGATAACAAGTTTCATTTTGAACTTTTCTATAATAATGCAATCATGAGAACTACACAATCTAAGCAAAGAACTGATTTGGACAAGGATTAAAAATTTTACTTGATTAAAGTTGAGTGTAAAATATGTGAATTATGAACTCGCCAAATGTAAGTAAAATAATTTATAATGAAATCAGAATTATTAACAGAAAAACAAAATGCTTTCCTACTGTATTTTGCATACAAAATTAATACTTTGTTATGTTAAAAATGTGCAAAAGATAATAAATGACAGAGCTAAAAAACAGTCTGCATTATAAGTGCAAAAAGGATGTTAGTCCCAATTAGAATATTAGTTTCGAAACGGTATTTAGCATTGAATGACTATAAATGCCGTATCACTTTTCAAATTGTTGTCTGCAAATTTTGAATAATGTAGTCCTCCAACGGAACATGGGTACTTGAAAGCCCGGATTTTGAATTTTAAATTTCTTTTATTATCTAGTTTATATTTTGTAAAACTTGAAAATTAATTTCTGATTAACAACTCAAGGATTTCAAAACAAGCAGTAGCAACACTGTAAGGAAAAAAAATATTTTCTGTATGGTGCACAAGACTGCCTATTTCAGGGGTTTTCAAACACATAAATATGAAACAAAACTATATGTACCACCATAAAAGCATTTCACCATTCAAAATCAATGCATCCTAAATGGAGTGTATATAATCACAGCATAAAAACCTTAAATTTATATTATTTAATTATACACATAAATGAAACCTTTACATTACAATAAAATATAACTAAGTATACTACGAGTATATATATATATACACTCGAGCCAAAACATTATGACCAGCCCTACATTTTCCAATGAACGCGCCTGGATGATGTGGAAGGCCCATGATCAGGTGGAAGTGGTATTTAACTGCTACTGGAAAGTCTGAAGAATCATTCTTTCACTTACTTCTGTGTGTGATGGGAAAGGCTGCGGATCTAAGCGACTTTGATAGAGGGCAGATTGTAATGGCTCGAAGGCTCGGAACAAGTATTTTCGAAACTGCATGACTCATGGGTTGTTCGCAATCTACAGTTGTAGTACGTATGAAAAGTGGATGAATGATGGTAAAACCAGCAGTAGACGACATGGTGTTGGATGTCCACACGCTATCAAAGAAAAAGGCTGTCGGAGACTGTCTCGCATGGTGAAGCAAAATCGGAGCCAGACAGTGGCTAAGTAGAAAAGTATCGGAGCACACTGTTCAGCGGACACTGTTGGATATGGGGCTACGCAGCAAACGTCCCACTCGTGTGCCTTTGCTGACCAAGCGTCATCGCCAACTGCGCCTGCGCCGGGCCCGGGAACATCGCGACTGGTCCACGGATCAGTGGGAGAGAGTTGCCCGGTCAGATGAATCACGGTTTGTCATTCATCATGCCAATGGCCGTGTCAGGATATGCCGTCTTTCAGGCGAACAGTTGTTCCCTCAATGCACAGGTCATACACAGGCCAGTGGTGGCGGTATTGTGCTCTGGGGGACATTCTCTTGGGCGTCTCTGGGACCCATGTTTGTGGTAGAGCAGACCATGAATGCTACAGGGTATCTGGAACATCATTGCAGACCAGTTGCACCCTTACATGGCCTCTGTTTTTCCAGCTGGAAATGGAATGTTCCAACAGGACAATGCCCCATGTCACAAGGCTACAATTGTGTTGGAGTGGTTCCAGGAACATATGCTGATTTCCAGTTAATGTCCTGGCCACCTAACTCACCGGATCTCAATCCGATAAAACACATTTGGGATGTCATGGGACGGCAGCTCAGAGGCCAAAGACCACCAATTCGCAGTATCTCGGATTTGCGTGACCATTGCTACAACATCTGGTACAATCTGTCTCCGGCCATCTATCAAGGACTTGTGGCATCCATGCAAAGGTGGGTTGAAGATGTGTTGCGCACCAAAGGTGGCCCAACTCATTATTGACAGGTGGTCATAGTGTTTTGGCTCTTGAGTGTATAACAATTGTGGTAAATAGTGAGAAATAATACATATATTAAGCAAATATAGTTGTATTGGTATATCTTCCATTGGAGAACTGGATTTTCTAGAGGCATTTCACATTCATAAAAATCTTTCTGTTCTAGTTAACGATCCTAATTCCAATCCAAATTTGCCTTCGGCTTTTAGAGAAATTACGTTTTAGTTCTGGTTTCGCCAACAGATGGCGCCACTTGCTTATTCTTGTCCAGGCTTTCTTATCTTATCTAAACATTATTTCCTATCTTGTTCATTTGCGGTTTTGCAGCTGAAGATGATGGTTCGGTAAAACCATCGAAACTAGTCCTGTGAAAATTTTGTGAATTAACGCTGATTTTTGTTGTTTGACTTCTGAATTAGTAAATATAGTTGTACAAAGTAAACACCCGAGTCACAGGGCCAGCATTGGCAAGTTACGTTTAAAAAATTATATACACTGTCTTTTTGAGATTTTAGATATTTTAAGGTTTAAAAAAATGGTGAATATTGGTCAGTTTTCTTGGAAAAGTCATCATTTCAAGATTAAAGCTACAGCCGCAAAAATCAAAAACTTGAAAAATATATGTGTTTCTGAATAATAAAGATTAAAACAAAACGTTAAAAGGGGCATAATTTTAGATTCATTTAATTTTTTTCTGTAAAAATTCTACCACTAAATATATTGTAATGTACCACCAGTGGTACATGTACCATAGTTTGAGAACCAATGGTCTATTGGAAATTTCTAAAGGTATGCTGTTTTTAAATATTTGGTGATTTTGCTATTGAATCAAATTTTATGTGGTTTAAGTGCCAAGAATGTGATATTTAATAAAGTAATAGAGAAAAAAGTGTTGTAAAAACCATTTTAGTAAGAAAACTGAACACTGATATGGATGAATTGAGAAAAGGCTGAAAACAATAGAAAAATGTATGCCAACACTTAAGGCAGCATCGGGAATTTGAAATGTATGTTGCTATGCTGCTTTTAAAATGTTTGTAATTTTTACTCTGGAATTGTATATGACACAAGTGTGAAGAAAATTATGCTTAATAATAAAACTAAAAAGGGGGGTTAGCAGGAGTGAGTGTAACAGCAGACTGCGAGCTCAGCAAAAACGTACATAAAACCTAAACAAACCCTTTAGGGTGACTGTTAAAATCTGAAACCTTTAAGATTTTTTTTAAAAAATATTTTAAAACATGAAAACGATAGCCACGTGCATGAAATCAGACTAAAGGAAAATGTAAATCTATTTTCAGTTGGTTACCTAACGTTTTTGTCACTTTATTTCATAATGCAACTCTTCGCAAAAATTTTAGGAAAAATGAAAGGAATATTTTAATGAAAGTATAATGCTGAAAGCAAAGATCACTTAATCAAGAGTTTTTTTAGCTTCTTATGCGCATTTTCCAATCTGGATCAATTCGGACTTTTTCAATTCTACAAATCCAAAAATTTTAATTTTAGTACAAATACAAAATGTAAAGAAGAATTATTAAAAACATATTTTAAAAATGTTATGGATAATATTTTATACTCATTCATAAAAGAGGTTAAGGTATTTAAAAAATGCAACAAATAACTTTTTTCTTGGAAAGAGAAAAACATCATATATTACCAAAGAAACAAAAATGGCAAATTTTTACAGAGAAAGAAATTAAGAAAAAGATGATTCAATGTATTTTCAGACTGCATCTTACAATGGATATGGCTACCAAAATTATATGCAAGATTGGCAGAGTTTGGCGACTTTTACTAAGGAGTTACAATAATATGCAAGCACTCAAAAACAATTAGTAATCACTGCTTTTTATATTACTCTACATAGAAAAATGGCAACTATACAGCTTTGTGGTAGTCTTATGTTCAGATTATGCCACTAGATGATGTCATGTTGTTTTCATAAGAAGTGCAGGTGCGACCAGCGAACTCACTCACACTGCCCTTTATCTCGAGGTTCGAGTATTCTTGTGGAAGTTTCACTGTTTCAATGAATATTTGTGTTAATAAAGTTGTGTCTTAGCGATGTGGAGTCATGTCTTCTAAGAATATACACTCGAGCCCTATCCTTCACACCTATAATAGTGACCCATCTACACGCATGAAACTTCAAAAGCTTGGTTATCAGGACTTTCATTTTCTTTACTACAGCCACTGCCATAGAAGAAACAACAGC